TGAGGTCCTCTATCATTTTCATGAAGATGCTTTTAAGGTCATTCTCTTCTAGTTCATCTGCATCGCATCATGATGTTCAGGTCTTACTGGTGTATGGTTCCTAGTCTCTAGTGGTGTCATATTGGGTTTTCTGTTGTTGGATGTGCTTTTACCTTGTCCTCTTCTCATCCTTTCTTCTGGTGTGTGTAGCAAGAGTTTCTTGTTCTCCTGGTGGGTGTGGGACCAAGGTTCTCTTCTGGTAGATGCAAACAAATCCAATACTCTGATGTCGGTCCTCTTTTCGTGGATGGAGTTGTCACTGTTACCCTGATGTCAGCAGTGTTCGGGCGTGCCGGGTCCCACCAGACCAGCAGTTGGAGGCAGAGCTGTCACCGGGCCTTGGTGTGTCGGATCTCACTGCAGAACTCCATCCGGCACGAAGGTCGTTTGTGTCAGATGACTCTGAGCAGGGATGATGACTTCTTTGTTTATTTAATTATGTACTTGTGTACATGTGGAGGTCAAAGGACAACTTGTGAGAGTCAGTCCTTTCCTTCTGCCATGTGGGATCAAATTGAAGTCGTCAAGGTTTCTGACAAGAGCCTTTACCTGATAAGCCATCTTACTGGCCCAGATTCTTACATTGTAATTTGTATTTTTTATTTGTCCACTAATTTAAGTATGTGTCTTTTGTCTCCCTGCTTCTTCCTCCACTGTACCAGTGGATAATAGTTGAGAAACATAACATTAATTTGAATTGATCCTCTTGGTGAATTACTTTTGTTTTTAACTTACACACCATTATTTATTCTGCTATAGGGAATAGACCAAGTGTGAGGAAATCTGACATAAGCTTCATTCACCCCACTCTTTCCATTGTGTGTGTGTGTGTGTGTGTGTGTGTGTGTGTGTGAGAGAGAGAGAGAGAGAGAGAGAGAGAGAGAGAGAGACTTGGACTGCAGCAAAGATGTATTCTTTTTATAAATAAGTGTGTAGATGGACAAATACACAATAGACAAATAAAGATTCATATTAACCTGAAGAAATGGAAAGCTGTTGTATAACATTGAGACAACATCAATAAACATTGTTCTTGATCTCTTCTCTGTTAGCTGGAGGATGTTTCCTGTACTTTTGGAAAAATTTTCTAATCAAACCATATTTTCAAAGTATATTGTAATTGGCACATAGTACTTAAGGTAGACTTCACACTTTCAAGCTGAAAATAATAGTAGGGAAGCTAAATCCTGTTACCATTAAGGGGTTAAGTTTGTTCGGTTTAGTTTTCAGGGATAAAAAAAAAAAATCAAACAAACAAAAACCCCTGCATCTCCAAACCCCAGGCAAAACACTGAAATGATTGTTTTTAACAGTGATTACACAGTCCTTGGATCTTACACCTTTAAGAGGTCTGAATGCATTGCTGGGCGAGTGTCATGTGTGTTTAAAGATGCCGTGGTTACTAGACACAGCTCCAGCCGAGTGGCTTCTCTACTGTCACTGCCATTCTAGGTAAAAGCCCGTGACAGGCGCTGGCTGCGTGAGAAGGTGGTGGCAGGGACAAATTGTTGAATACATTGACTCATCAGTACAGCCGGAAAATTATGCTTCTCAGCCTCTTGGGAACACGTTTCCTCATTTAATTTTTTTTTAAATTGTATATTAGGATCTGCTTCAAAATACAGATGCCCACAAGAGAGCGTTCCATGAAATCTACCAAACAAGGTCTGTCAATGGGATCCCAATGCCTCCTGATCAGCTAGAGGACATGGCTGAGAGGTAAGAGAGAGTCCGATTTTATATGAAGGCTTTTTAAAAAATAAAATGCTAGATGGGTGTTTTTGTATTCTCTTTTTTTTCTTTCACATTTTTCTTTCCCGAAATGAATTGTTATAATTTTAACAGAGACGCTTACTTTGGTAAATGCAAAGTGGGTTCCCACACAGATGCTAAGAGTGCCAACATTCTAATATATTATTAACTGGGGAGAGCAAGTTGGAATGTTCCCACAGCTTGCAGATCACAGAAACGCTTTCTTCATCATAGGCTGTATTTTTATTCAATACTGTAAGGAACATTATGTAACATTGCAAAAACAGCTTATAAAAGAAACAGATGAGAGATGTGTTAGCAGGGAAGAGAACCAAACCAAAGGCTTCAATCAACCCTGTTTCCCCCTTGAAACCTTGAGCTAAGAAAGGCATCGGATCCCCTGACCGTGAGCAGGGAGAGTTTAGAAGGCTACAGTGTAACAGGTTCAGCAAGCCTCCTTCGGTTACTATTAGTTACATCCTGTGAATTCTGCCCATCTAATCCTAGGTTTCATTTTGTGTCCTCCGCATCCGAGCTGCACTTAATGAAAATGGAGTTTCTGGAACTGAAGTACCGTCTGCTTTCCCTGCTGGTCCTGGCTGAGTCAAAGCTGAAGTCTTGGATCATCAAATATGGGAGGCGAGAGTCCGTGGAGCTGCTGCTGCAGAACTATATCGTGAGTCTCTAGCGCTCTGACAGAGTTCCACTTTGAATTTAAGTGTAAAAACACCACTTCATCCAGTAGGTTGGATCTGAGGTGTGGAGCTTTTCACCAGCACCTGGAAATATCTACTTGGATTCTTTGGAATTTGTTTCGAATTCTGACTTTGGGAGGGTTCCCTGTATTAACACCCCAACCCTAGTAATGGAGCTTTATTACTTACAAAAAGGGTTTTGTGGAGTGTGTGTGTGTGTGTGTGTGTGTGTGTGTGTGTGTGTGTGTGAGTTCACACACCTTTTAGTTTCAACACTATTAGTCCTTTAAAACTGAATTGCTGTACTTCACGACTGTCATCCAGTCATCAAAGCTCCCAGTGTGAGGGAAATGGGGACCTGTTTTCAGTTGTCCACATGGGGACCAGTTCATGTGTTAGACTTGCTGAATGAGACTCTTCCCGGGACTTATGCCTGTGTGTACCCAGGCATTGGGTAATTTTGTCTACAAAACTCTGTACAAACTTAATTTTTAAAGAGTATCTCATGATCTCATGTTCTGATTTAGGAAATCCCAATTCTATCTAGAGCATTAGCCTGGAGTTATTAATAAAAGAAAGTGGCTGATCCATTTACATATAATTAATGTAATGTGTTTAATAAAGTCAATTCATTTCCTCTTTAGTCAACTTATCATGCCCCTACACAAAATATTTGCAACATTTGATTGGAAGTGTTCATGTCAACAGTGCATTTCTGTCCTGTCCTCTGACATTTATATTTAAACACAGTTTCCAAATTATAAATCACTAAACTTTTAACATACTAGCTTGTTACAACTTGGCCAATCACAATGAGCTACAGAGTGTGTGCTTAAGTTTGTATCAAAACTGTGTCCTGTGCAAGCATCTTGGAAACACAATCAGCTTTGTTATAATTTAATTTTGTTCTTTAACTGATGTATGAGCTACATGAATTTGAAACAAACAAAGCAAATTATCTGGTGGTTAGTACTTCTCTATCTAGGTTCACTAAAATGGTCCAGGAAACATTCATTTCAGAAACTGTGAACTCTGTTAGGATGTGTTCCTTATTCATCTGTAGCTATTTTGGTAAGGAAACAAAATCCATTTTTAAAATTTTAGTAATGGCTTTAGTCTCATAAATATTAAATGGAGGAATGGATTCACATCTTCAGTTTTAGTCACAGCAAATAATGCACTCTGAGCCCAGGAGTTAATTACACAGGCTCCATCCTTTGTTCTAGCTATTTAAGAACAGCCAATCAGATTCAAGTACCTAATAGGACTGCCTTACCAGGTCGATGTTCCAAAACAATGATATTAATAATTCTCTTCAAACTTCTCAAAAGATATATAAATAGAGAATTGATGTTCATGACAAAAAGTCAGCACTTCCTGCCCACTCCATAAAGTTAAAGAGTTCACTGTGATGCTAATTTCAAACTGCTGTGCAAATTTGGTGTAAGTGTAAAGTGGACAATCATCCTTCACTCCCAGCAGGTTCCACTGGGCATGTATTCTAGTCTCCTAGTGAAGAGGCCCTAGTTAAAGCTTCCAGAAGTGGCTTTACGGTCCACTTTGTTGAATAATTTCAATAACTGTGGGCCTTTGACTGCTTCACTTTCCACCTCAGGGAAGACCCTGTAGGTTGAGTGTTTCCAGTAAATCCTACAGTGAACACTGATAAAGCACTGTGCCTCTGGCTCAGGAGTTTTTATGTCCCAATCCTGTGCTCCAGGTGACATAAGTGGCATGAAATGGAGTCTAGATATTTCCAAATCAATAGCTTTTGCAGGCATGTACCAATATTACTCTCTAAATGCATAATATATGAAAAAATTTAACTTGAAGACCAAAGTATTGATGTTTATTGAATTGTAGTGAATTTAAGAATGCCATTCTCATAAATATTAGTCCCCCATAATATGTTTCAAATTGAATAATATTTTACTCGTATGCACTATAGTAGTTTGATCACCACTGCCACTTATTTGTAGGCTAGGGAACAGTAGTAAGCTGAGGGGAACTGAAGCTTTGTCACAGTGAAGTGTGTTCTAACCTTGTTTCAGCTAGTCACTACCCACATGACTTTGTGAATGATTGACGTTTCTACGATGTTGTCTTTCCTGAGTTTTTCACGTTATATCATGATGATGGTGGTAGTAAAATAAGAGACTCTGGGCTGGAGAGATGGCTCATCCATTACAGGCTAGGCTCACAACCAAAAATAATAGCAATTCCTCCAAAGGGTAGACTTTGTATACTTCTTCCTTCTGTGACACACTGTACAAAGTATCCCTCATCCTTTTAGATTTTTAAGGAAAATCATTCATTTCAGAAGTTCAAAAAAGTGTGAAGATTTTCAATAAAACTACAATGTCTATTATTTACATCCTATTCTTTTCTTCCTTGCTTAAGAATATAAACATGGTGTGTTGCTATGTTTTCAAATAAGCAAAATGATATCTAAGCTATGTAGAGTCATCATCCTTGGTGTCACTTCTCAATGTGACATTAATCAAATGCCAAAGAAAAAGGTAACCCATGTTTTAGGGTTGGAGAATTACGGAGCATGCTTCCTAGCTGGGGTATAAACCAATGAGTACTTTAAATCCTTGAAAAATACACTCATTCTTGTTATGAAAAGAATTAGAACATGAGGGTTATTGAAGGCTCAGCAGGGAAACTCTTGCCACTGAGCCTTATGACCTGAGTACACTCAGGAACCCACATGTTGGGGAGAGAGAACCAACTCCCACAGATTGTCCTCTGACTTTCACAAATACAGCATGGCACATAGATGCTGCTGCTATACAGAGCATAAACAAATAATAAATCTAATAATAGTTTTTTAATATTTAAAAGTTAGACCATAGGCTATTGATCAGAGATTACAGAGTCATTGATTTGGTCCTTGATATCAGAATTGTTTATAGTGATCTTGCTAATTAATGTGTAATGTCCATTTTTGCCATGTACACAGTAATATAACATTTCTATTCTTCATATGAAAGAAAGATGATCATTTGAAATTGTGGAACTTGCGAAGTTCAACATAAAATGAATATTTATCTTACAGTTTACAACAATTTTAATGTAAATAATCAGCCCTGATTAGATTTTAAAGGATTTATAATTACCTTGTTTAGCTCTCTTGGGAGCATTAATGAGTTTTTAATTAGTGTGTCTATATTTGAAGGCAGAAATATTCTTACTTCCAATGTTTTGGTTTCAAATCCTAAGTGCTGCTTTAACTTTTCTTGTCTTATCATCCACACTAATAGTTCCTTTGGTTTGGTAACCCAGTTTTGGCCAAATTTTTAATAAAGCAAATTAGCCTTGTCATTTTAATTCAAAATGTGCATTTTCCTGAGAGGTATGTCTAGCACAGAAAAAGGGAGGCCTAGCAAGCCTCCTGTAAAAGTGGCTTTCTTAGACAAACATCATTGTTCCGATGGCATCTCCGTAGTTAGCAAAAAAAAAAAAAAAAAAAAAAAGCACAATTATATATGTCAATAAAAGTCTGAATAACAAATGGGATTTATTTTTAAAATTAGTTGTCTAACTGTTCTAATGAAAAAGCTCAAAGATAACAAATTCTTTGATGTATTCTTACCTCCCCTCCTATTTTTAGGTCAAAAACAAATGTAGAAATAAGTATATTTTTATTCATTTGTAGTTAATTTGCAAACTGGTATTTTAAGTCATTATAGCCAATATAGTGACTACTATAATGATGAGTATTATCAGACTTTGTTCTCAGCCAATCACAATAAACTCTGTTAAAGTCATCCAATAAAATATCAGGCATGGAAGCCTGCTCTATCATGGAATTCATAGCTTTCTGCATTCACTTTATTTCTAGAGAATAATTTATAAATGTCCTGTAAATATAAAGTGGTCTCCATTGTAGTTTAATGTAATCCTTTAAAATTTACACTGAGACAAGGTAAGCCATGCTAGAAACCTAGGAATGTCTTATGAAATTGCTTTATGAACTATTTTTTTTACCCTGACATAAAGCATCAATTAGCATGTTACACAGGACTCCTACCATACCGTGGAAGGCTCCAGTTTGTGAAGCATAACTTTGCATTTTATCAGAGTGACGACCCCTGCCAACTATTGTAATTGATTAAACTCTTAAAAGTCTGTTCTGATGGTAGGAGAATTTAAAGACGTTTTGGAGACACATTACTAGTTATAATTGTATTAATTTTCTACTTGGAGTAACAAGAGTACTTTTTAAACATTTTAAATATGAGGGGTTTTGAGCATTAATAAAAACAAAATTTACTGAAGTTTTTGTGTATATGTGTTTTTAATTTTATGGTCTCCATGTGATAGCCCTGGTTTTATTATGTATGCAGACGATAGACACATACAGATGTAGATTTAGTCTGTGATTTTTGTGGTAGGCAACTGGAATATGAAAGCATCAATAATATGGATAGCATATGAAATTATTTTTAATCTTTCTACTTTTTTATTTAAGGAAAGCATTTTCGCTCTCGTTTATTTTTATCTGGAAGCTCTTCAAAGCAGTCAGTCATCCACCAGGGCTAATGTTCAAAGAACAACAGACTTCGGCAGCTCCAACACAGTAGGACATTAAAATGTTCCCCCAAATTTAGCGCTTTCTAAATGTTAGGCACACGTCCTCTAGAGAAAATTCTGTTCTTTTGGAAAAGCAAACCTCTGTGTGGTCAAGAAATAGAACATTTTCTCAGTCTGGTGTTGAGGTGATATTGAAAACCTAGGCACAGAATATGGGCTTCATATTACCAGAATAATCCATGACAGTGGAATTTTGTATTTTCCAGTAGAATAAGGTTGAAAGAATTGGATAATTAACCTTGTCACTGTGCACAGGCCTAATGTTTGCTCCCTGCTAAGCAAGCATGTTCCTTTTCCTAGTCTTTTATAGAAAACAGCAAATTCTTTGAACAATATGAAGTGACATACCAGATCCTGAAACAGACAGCCGAGATGTACGTCAAAGCAGACGGCTCAGGTAAAGCACACCGTGGGATTAGCTGAGGGGGCTGTGTAGGAGGGAGAAGAGTAAGTGAGGACAATTGGGGTGAATATGATCCAAGTTCTTTACATGCATGTGTGCAAGCATCACAATGAAACTTAGCATCCTCTACAGTTAACACCCACTAATGAGAAAAGTAAGTTGGTGTGGTTCTGACTTAAGTAGAATTTAAAACCAACAGGATTCTATGGGATCAGATCAATTATTTTTTACTATGACTTTTTTTTTTTGATAACTTTGTGACAATGCTTTTAACTCGGAGAGGACAGAGTGAGTCTGTGAGGTGTCTGCCTTGCACAATGGCATTCTTTCTGTGTGTAATCGTCTAAGACAGAACAAAATAAGCATTCATTTTTCTAAGTTGCAATTTTTCGGCCTAGGCTAAATTCCAAGGGACAGAACAAAATAAGCATTCATTTTTCTAAGTTGCAATTTTTCGGCCTAGTTTCAATTCCAAGGGGATTAAAGGCAAAAAAGTGAAATAACTTGAATATAGATATGAGAGCTAAAATTACTGTGAAGATAAACTTTGTAAGATATATTTGCTTAAAATTTGTAAATGTCTGCCATAATCATTGGGAATGGAATCTTGTATGTCTGAAAGAGGCTCTCACCTCCAGTGTACAAGAACACAGGAAAAAACATAGAGGGGGTGGTAAAGTACAGAATGGAGATTGTGACTGTTTATTTCTGCTGTAGTGGAAGAAGCTGAGAATGTGATGAAATTCATGAATGAAACCACTGCCCAGTGGAGGAATCTCTCAGTGGAAGTGAGGAGCGTGAGGAGCATGCTGGAGGAGGTGATCTCCAACTGGGATCGCTATGGTGATACCGTGGCCAGTCTTCAAGCCTGGCTAGAAGATGCTGAAAAGATGCTAAGTCAATCAGAAAATGCCAAGAAGGTAAGACTGTTCACACGAAAAGCCATGCTGGGGAATCACGGAGGAGAGATTTCTCACAGTAGAGTTCACTAGGGCTTGTCAAGATATTTGCAAGTATGACTCAAGGATTCTCACTTAAGAGGTTTACCCCCCAGGTGAGTTAAATGAAATTAGACCTGCCCCTGTAAATACTGGATAGTCAAAGTTCTGTTAAAACAGTTCCCTGTAAGACCGATCCATTCAACTTTTTCACTCAGAAGGGCAGTAAGTGTCAGTAATCGACTATTGATAAAGGGGTAGCCAAATCTAATGGCCAGTAGGAGGCGTTATGTGCACACTGAGGTCTGTATAGATGTCTAGGGCTTAGCCTTTGTAGATTTCCTATTCACAGCTGTAGTTACCTACATAAGGCTACACACACACACACACACACACACACACACACACACACACGACTGAATTTGTGTGACAGTTCACACCCATGGAATAGCTGGACCACCACCTTGATCTCTTTAGATATTCTCTTTGGGGTTTTAGAGTCACTCCATAAAGAGTTTCATTCATTCTGCCTAGGATTGAGGTCTTTTTCCTTTTCACAATATTTAAACATGTATGAATGTGCACATGGTAGTAACTGTCTTACTCCAACATCCCTTACATGGAAATATTAAATAAAATGGATAGTCACATGTATGTGCACACACACACACACACACACACACACACACACACACA